ACAATGAGCGCATATTGGGAGCCAGGAGAAAGTTGACAGGGATGTAGCGGAACGGAACGCAGACAGAGGCATAAGCCGAAAGGAATCCGTTGAGGGAGGGTACTCTGCTGAACGGGACAAGAGCGACGCGTCTTTTCGATCAAGAAGTTTCACCCATCGATGCTGATGCTGCTTTGGCAGTACTTCCCTATCGGCCACCAGTCCGACCTCGACTTATCTTCTCCGAAGAAGACGAGAGTATCTCCTTGACGTTAACGCGTGGACTGCAGATGGGCAAGGACAGATGGGCACAAGTCTGGCTCGCATCCGTGCACGTACCCGGTATCAGCGAACTGCATCAGATCGCTGTCAAGCTCCTTCAAGAAGCATTTTGTCCCCATTCGGAAGATGATGACGACGAGGACGACGAGGAAGGACCTTCTCTGTGCACTTCTGCAGGAATATGCAGAAATGAAGCATGGGCATTTGTGCAGCTGAGACCTTTGCAAGGTCTATTGCTACCCTTTCTCGCCCACGAGGCGACTGTCTCACAGCCCAACACTGAACTTTGCTCTTCTCCCTAACTCTCACCCTCATTGCCCTCACCGCCCACGAGCTCCCAACCATCCACCATCCACATTGTCACATTGCTATCGACGTACCGGTCATCATCTGCACCATGTCTGCACCTCACCAAGACACAACCGGACGCGGCCCATCCACTGTCAGTCATGTGCTCTTTGCAGCATTGACTGGAACGGTCAGTACGGTCTAATCCAGAGCTGTTTGCTTGAAGCTAACATTCTTACCAGCTCGCAACCCATCTTGAGAGCCGCCTGGCTGGAGAGTCAGAGTATGACACAGTGTATAGAGTGCATTTGAAGGCTTTGGTCGAGGCAGTAGATAAACAGCGGTGCGTATGCTGGGCACAAACACGCATACATCTACTCATACCAGTGCAGGCAAATCGCTACATCAAGCAACACTCTCCTTTATACAACAGATTGTGTTCCCGGGTTACCTATTATTGTGCAAGCCACTGCACCGGGCAACCTGCTTGCCCCATCACCCGCCAATGTCTCCAGACAAGAATCACCCCTAGCCGTCACACCTGGAGGCGCCACCGCACAACCCGCTCCCCCTCTGCACCAGAACCAGGGGACTGGATTCACAAGCCCTGCTTTCATGCTTACTAGCCCCAGCGTACATCTGCCATCCCAAAGACCCGCTTCCAGCCCTCAAACTGCTCCATCAGTCATGCTCTCAAGATCTCCAGGTTATCCCGGGCGAATGCAACAACCTGGCCACCCCAGTGATACCTCGTTGCTGCACTCTACGCTCAGGAGGGCAGCAGTCGCAGGCCCAGTTCCTACTGCATCTCCTTCCCTAACTGGCCTCGCCCCTTCCCCTCTTCATCCGCAGCACCCCGAAACCAATGTACATGCTGTTGCCAATACTGGCCTTTCGATCGTCTCAACACGTGCTCCACAAACTGATTTTGCAGATGTAATCGTAACCAATGCATACACCGCCTTAGGTGAGGCCTATCCAGTACCATTGGGTTTGCCAGGCTAACCTTTCCATATTCAAGCCATCATCCTTAATCATCTCTATCCTGTTGAAACGTGGCAGGAAGTCTTTTGGCGTCACGTTCTCACATCTCGCATTGTGCAGCTAATATCTCCACGTCCTCAATGGAAGGAGATCCCATCAATGCTGCACCTTGCATTGGTGACAAGCCACGATTTCCCGGCAATGCCACAAATGGGTATGAATCCGAACGACATATACCCGAGACTCTGGCTCAACTGGGGTTCGTGGCTACTGAAGGGGCCCCTGACGATAATGTCGTGGAAATCCCAGATGATGTATCAGTGAAGGACACGCTGTCTGAACCTGCCCAAACACCCATGACTCTCAAGGCAAAGGTGTCCGTGGAAGAAGACAAAGATGAAGACAACGCGCCTACCCCAGCGGCGGCCACGAGCTGGATCATCCCGAGCTTGACCAATCCAGTTCACCGACCTGTCAATACAGAAGGACAGTCCATGATACTGGAGGCTACCGCTACCTCGGTCTCGCCCCCTCATCCCAGCAAAGATGAGCCAGTGCAGGTGTGGCTCAAAGCGGGGACGCGGGAGCTACAGGACAAGGGCGGGTTTTGCCAGCGTATCTTACTGACAATGGCATCCCGAATCCCTTCCCGAGATCCACGATTATCAACAACAAGTTTGTACGGCGCCATAACTGTGCGGAATGGATTTTTTATATGCTGTATGTGAGATTCATTGCGCCATCACTACTCAGATCAACTCATGCTTCTTCAGCTTAACCCTGTTTGTGAACCATCCTGAACGCCTGCCTCATCCCGTCACTTTCATTCTGATGACGACACGCATTCATGATACGGCCAAACTGCTGGATGACACCAACGTGGAGTTCATGAACCCGGATCATCATGATCACCGGGGCATCATTGAGACCACTAGTGAACGATGCAGTGAGGTGTTCGTGGCCCTCTGCCTCCTCTGCTGGATCGTGCTCTCCTGGATTCGGGAGAAACATGCCGAGCAGTGCGAGAGGCATCGCTTTGTCCAAGCGACTAAGGGTGGCCACCTCGTCGACATCCCCCTGCTTCCCATCACTCTGATTTTGAAGGAGATGAGTGAGGACGCTGCCTACCAAGCTAATCTCTCAGAAAAGAATGGACCACAAACCCCGTCTAACAGTCACATCGAGGAGGCAGAAGGTCAGGGAAGTGGCTGACGCGGTACAATGCCCACCACACTCCCGGGTGACCAACGCAGTAGGCAGAGGAGTCAAGGCCACCCGACAGCCAGAGGGACTGGGAGAGGCAATGGCGGGGTGCCTGTCAGGGAGCAAGTGCTGGACGGTAGCCGGCCGTTGAGGGGCATGCCAGCCAGAAGAGGCGGCCACAGCGGGGGAGGCGGTCCCGGCCACGGGATGCCCAGGGAATCTGGGAGAGGTGCCGGCCATGGCACAAGCGGAGGTGCCATGAGAGGCCATGAAGTCCCGATGGGGGATAGCGAGGGCACTGACTGGACGAGGGTCACGACACGCAGAAAACGAGGGCACGGTCGGGGCGGCAGGCGAGGAGGGAACCCCAGGATCGAAATTGCAAAGGATACTGGTCGATAGGGGCGGCAACAACAAGATGGGCGATAAAGTAAGAGAGTACAACGACAGCTACGGTTTTCAGTGTCATGGTTTATGCTACAGACAACCGATCTACAGAGAATGTCGCACAATAGAGTTGCCAGAGCTTATGCCACTTCAATCAGTCCGCCAAGTCTGCCCTAAAGCCTGAGAGAACTGGTACGTACTGGCTGTCCGATATGAGGCAAGCCGGGCGCCGTCCTTGGTCTTAGTCTTTCAGTCCCAGTAAGGAAGGGAATAAAGAAACCAGTTGCTGGAGCGCTTCGCATCAGCCGGGTGCCAGCAACCGGCTTGATGGAAGAGGCGCCCGTTGGTCAGACCCCTGTCTCATGTACAACACCACGCGTCGCGTCACCCGGCATTGGCTCTCTTTCGCTAGCTGACTGTTGACTATGGCTGCTCGACAAGATGCGGAACGGCTGCGAGCACTGGTACAAGGAGACTCAGAGCTGATCAAGGCAGCGATGGAGTATCTTGCCCGTTTGCGACTGCTAGCAAGCACTGTTGGTAGCTTAAGGGACAATGCGACGGCCCTCGCACCTATTGCTGCATTACTTGCCTGTGAAGAGTGCGCAGATCTATAATCCAATAGTCACCTCTGCTGATCAAAAGAAGGAATGGTTCAGATATGGTCACACCAGCTTCAGCACAGAAGGCATCTTTTCGACGTCCGGGAGAATTCCAGAACTGCCTCAAAGCCGTTCGAAGTCTGCTCGTGCGTCAGGCAGCCTCCTCATCGCCGCAGCAGACCCCCTCCCGCCCGTCCACGACGTCTTTCGAGGCTCTCGCATCGTCATACAGAAAGTATGGGGTGGGAAGGGGTGCGGTACAAGAGATGAACCGCGCAATGCAGGAGTGGGAACGGCTGTTGGACAAAGCGAAAGGGGGTAAACACACAGCGGTCGAGGATCCGAGATATACGAAAGCCATTTTCGTATGGGTATTGATTGTACTCAAGGTATGCAATACGCGTATTTGCACTCAGTGTTTGCGGTTACTGACATGCCCTGGTTCAGTTCCCTATCGACAAAACAGCTTTTTGCGCTGAACAAAACATGAGACAAGTCGACCTCACGAACATCCATCAATCCCTCGACTCGCGGTGCTTCGGACGGAAGGCCGCTCTTGAGAAAAAGAAGGATCTTCACTACCAAGGACCATCGCCTGAAGAACAAGACTCCACCTCACCTACCAAGGCACAGAAGCGCAAGGCATCCGCCATCGACATGCCCGACGAGCTAGTAACGCCGACAAAGCGACCGTACACTCCCTCCCTCCTGAGTGGGAAACGGGATTCACCCAGCCTGTCAGCAAACAAACGTGCCGATATGGATGAGGAAGAACTCGATTCCTCGCCAACGAAGCGTCTAACGCGAAGCGCGACCGGAACACAGATCACCCCGTCGAAGCCGTTCAGATATAATTCGGAGCAGCTCGGTTCCTCACGAACGCTCTTGTTCCCTCCTTCGGCGGAGTCCACTCGGTCTGTGCGATCATCAAACCCCTTTAGCCCATCACCGACCAAGTCGCGTGGAAAATCACTTTCGCCGGAACCCATGCCAATGTCTTCATCTGGGTTACAGGATGAAGAAGAGGACGAACGAGAGGGCTATTCTCCTCTTCCCGAACCAAAATACCGCCTACGACCACTGTTTCTCGAGACTTTCGGGTTGTCGAAGAAAGACAATCTGCGCGAGGTTGAGTGGTTCAGGGCCTGGCGGGCACAGGTGATCAAGAGAGGGTTTGAGAGTGACAGCGAGGATGAGTTCGAAGTGTTCGAAGAAGAGGAGTCGGTGCGCCAGGAACATGACGAAGGTGCTTCTGTGACTGATAATGACGACGACCAAGACTATGAAGAAGACTAGATGCACTTTGATACCTAATGGCAATGTTTCGACCCGCATGGCGTTCAGCGAGTCCCAAGTTCCAGAGAAAGATATAGTAATAAGGAGTGAGTAGCGTGCTAAGTATTAGAACTATAGACACAGTGCATGAAAAACCGCGTAAATACTAGTCAATCTTGTGTCACGTTGCCCTATACACTATTCAAAAATGTTGTATCGATTGCTCCGCATACATGCTCTGATTTATTTTAGCCAGCTAAAGACCTAGCCATCTGGCCGAGCTGGCTGGCCATCTCCGGGTATTCCCTCACGAACTGCATCTGTGCTTGGGTGGCCTAACCTCATGTCAGACTCATTGAGAACGCGGCGGGAAACAATGCTACTTACATATTGGTAAGTGAGAGCATTCTCCAGGTCCGGAGCCGTCCGTGCAATCTCGGCTCCTTTTTTAAACATCTCAATAGCGTTGTCCAATTTGCCCGTCTGCAAGCTGAACTGTGCGAGCGTTCCAACGGCAGCGTCACACTCGGGGTCAATCTCCAGAGCCTCACGGCAGAGCGCTTCAGGAGCAGAAGTATCTTGCTTCCATTGGTAGATTGTAAGTGCTTTGTTGACGAGGGGCAGTACATTCATTCGTTGGCGAGGCTTCTGGCGTTCGAGCTCAATGGCCCGATCGAACTTCTCCACCGCGTCCTGGAATCGTTGCTGATCAAGCAGCAGCTCACCGCTGGTTCAGAGTCAGTGCGGTACAAAGGATAATATGGATAGTACGCACTAGTAGTTCTGCGGCTCGCTGTTCTGCGGGAACTGGCGCATTGCCGCCCTGAACTTGGCCATACTCTGCGGGATATTACCTTGCTTGTATTTGGCGACTGCTAGCTGGATGTGCGTGAAGACAAAGTTGGGGTCAAGCGCTACAGATTTTTCATAGTCTTCGGACGCCGCGTCATAGTTGCCCATGATAAAGTGCACTGAACACGAATCAACACACATATATGCATCTATGGTATGACAGTGCGTACCTTGACCACGATGGTAGTAGATATCCGGGTCATCCTTGTTGTATTCGAGCGCTTTTTCGAACGCGGCGAAGGCAGCATCGGAGTCGTTCAGCTCCATGTGGACGCTAGCGATCTTGACCCAGGTCTGGGTGAGCGTCGGGTCCGCTTCGATGGAGGCGAGCATATCGGCACGGGCACCACTCGCCTCGCCCAGAATGAACCTGTTCACATGCTTAGGCCTAGACAAAAACGGGCCACTATGATGGAACGCACTTAAACGTTCCCCTGAGGTTCAACGCTTCAGCCTTAGCGTGGGCTGTCGAAGGCACCTGCTCAATGGCCTCACTAGCTAAGGTAAACGCGTGCTGGTAGTCGGCAGCTTCGAGCGCGTCGAATGCCAAGTCAAGAGTTTTGTCACCCTGGGAGGGATTTTCTGGAAGTGCGGGCTTGGGATCTGTCACGGAATTAGGAAGTGGAGGTGAAGAGAACAAAGGGACGTACGAGGACGGAAAGCGGCAAGGTAAGAGGAAATGAAGGTCATAGACGGTAGGCGCGGTTCGCGTGACTGGATGAAGTCAGCGTTGATGCATCAAGCCCTGAAATACTATACATACAGAAAGGATCTCCAACATTCGCTTGTTCGCCACCTTCTTCAACACACGTTCCATCGCCTGTGCCGACGTCTCGTTCTTGAAACGATCGAGAATGGTGGCAGCAGTGAAGTCTAGAACAACACGTGAGCACTGGTGTTGTAGTACCCTGGTGGTAACCTACCGTGCAGTGCGTCTAGGTCATGGCCAAGGGCCTCATGAGCGCCAGCTCTCCTGTTCAGGGCCTTGACATAGTTCTTATCCAACTTCAGCGCTTCGTTGCAATCATCGATAACCTTTTCATGTTGAGGTGGCGAGTAGTTTACATAACCTGTCGATGTGTTAGATTGGAAGGAGTGGACAAAGCAGTGTGCACGAACATGCAGCTCGGTTGGAGTAGAAAACAGCTTCGGGCGTCGGTGATACGGCGATTGCTCGAGTGTACAGCTCGACAGCAAGGGTAAAGTTTCGCCCTTGATATGCAGCATTACCTCTCTGCTTCAACGAACCCGCCATTGTGGATCGTTCCTGAGTCGTAATGAGGCACGTAAATATTATGGAACTGGACACTTACCTCTGTTGACATAGCCTTGATTTGCTCCTCGGTCAGTCGCGGACTCAGTGCTACGAATATGCTCAGCTTTCGTCTCTTGTCTCAACTATATGGTGCGCACCATCTTCATCCTCGACCTGCACAGTCTCTTTAGGCTTCTCCGCCGCTGCAGTTTCTCCAGTCGGCTTCTTCTTGTTCTTCTTCTTCTTGTGCTTTTTAGCGCCAGAGGTAGCAGGTCCCTGCTCATGCACGTCCTCCCACTCCTCTTCCTTGTCCCCACTCTGCGCCTTGGCCTCATCCTTGATCTTTTTAATCTTTGCCTGTGTTGCAGATATGGTATACAGGTAATAGCCAACTCCACCTGCAGCGAGAACCGCGGCGGAGGTAAGAAGGATCGTTCGCTGGTGGTGAGCCACAAAGGTCGATATCTGGTGTGCAAGCGGCACATTTGTCGACGTTGAGGAGGCCATGGCGAGTGAGCAGGAGCACAAGGAGCAATAAAGTCCGGCCGGTACGACTGGCAACTGCTCACCAAGAGGGCGGAGCGCTTTTTCGAATTGTGCCCTTGCGAGTCTCTCCGGCATGACGCGTCGGACTCAGAATTTACTCCCGCTGGGTAGATGGGATAAAAAAAAGAACACCACAACATGCCCTTCACATCCCAGTAATCATACTAGTATCCTGCTCTAGCAATTGTGAAAAATAGAGTTCAATATTTTCTTCACAATTCTTGTTTGCATTGGATTCACACCTTTCTTAAGAATCGAGGACAAAGGGGCAAAAGCCAAAAAAGATTTGCAATGCCCACAAGCCGATTTGAACGACTGACCTCGACATGTACTATGTATACTAGTGTCGCGCGCTAGCCAACTGTGCCATGCGGGCTTCGGTATTCATCAAACAATATTTTTGCCCATGTGGTACTGTTCATGGTTTTGCGATACAGTCACCATGATGAGTGTGACGAATGTTACGCAAATGAGCGCGGCACCTTGACTTCTCTAAAATGAATTGAGATATCTCCTCAGCTCAACGAACTCGGAACGGGTGAGTACGAACACAGTCATGCCAAAGAAAGAATCGCCTGAGAATCGCAGATACCAAGTCCCCGCAACTCTGGTCTGTCACAATGTGCCCTTGCGATGGCTGCCTAGCCGAATTCATGCTGTATAATGACGCCTTTTCCCTCCTGATCCTGGCAAACAAAAGAAACACCAAACCTAAGATACTTCATGTGATTGTTACAGAGCGTCGCATCAACACTGCTTCGTTTCCCATGAAGAGAAATGGATACTGGTTGGAGTTCCTATCCCCGAGGTTGCAGGTATGCTTCCCTCCCATTACTTATCGTGAATTATATATATGCAGTAAGAGCACGCTCAGAGCAGTTATCCTCAGCGGTCTTCGTGGTAAGACGCTGTCTGCATGAGATTGAAGTCGTTTCGACGATGTGATAGTAGCAGGTGACGAGATCTTGGCGAATCCAACTCATACATCACTGGTACATTCCATGTATACATGGGCATGGTATACAAGTGCAACATACAATCTTGTCTTCATCTTATACACCGCCTTTCAAGAGATACTTTCTCTCTGTCCAAAGTCGCGCCCCAACCCATACGCCCTCAGCCACCCGCTACTTCGGCTGCAAATCCATCAACTTGGCCTCAAAAGCCGCCCTAAACTCGTCAAACGTCGCATTCCCCAACACTGCAAACTCGACTCTCTCGAACACGGCAAAGAACTTGGAGTGCGGGAGTGCAAGGAGCTCCGCCCACGTGCTCGCCACCATGCTGATGTTGTTCTGGAACACGCCGGTGCCAAAGCTACCCAGAACGAGGTGTCGGCAGCCTTTGGCCCGGAAGAGCCAGAGGATACGGGCCATGCGCTCGGTCATCTCCCGCTCAATTAGCCGTTCTACTTCTTCCAAATCGAGTTTCTGGCGTACGACCCCTGCGTTCACAGCGGGCGAAGTGACCATGTCCACTGTGTAGGGCTCGATGGTGACACCGTCATCGTCCCGGAAGACGACGACGCCAGGGGAGTAGATCATCGCATGCGTGTAGAATCCATCCGTGCGGACGCTCTTGTGGAGCTCGTAGAACTTCTGTCCCTGGGGACTCATAAGGCTCTCGTATAACGCCGAACTGCGCGCAAGGCTCTCTTCCTGCGCCTCAGCGCCGTTCAGGAAACCCCCGCCAGGCTTGGTCGCACTGGCAAAATTGAGCACGCCGATCCTGCTCAGGCGGCTCGGGTGCTGCTTGCGCAGTTCGCGAGCAGCGGAGAGCGTCGTGCGGTTGAAGATGCCAAAGTTGGTTGGGAGGCGCAGTTGGAGCGCGAGGGAACTGTCGCCGTCCTCCCCGCTGACGGTGTCCTCCTGCTCGTCAGCGTCAAGCGACAGCTCCTCCCAGTTCTGCAGCAACGGGTCGTCATCTGCAAGAAATTCGGTCGCTCCCACCGAAGCGTCCACAGCAGCACGGATCATGTACTCCTGTTCTCCGCCTCCCTCTTTGTCCTGCAAAAGCACGCGCACGACCCCAGTACGCAGGATGTTCAGCGTATCCTCTGCCAGTGCGCACCTGAGGTCGCGGACTTCGGAGCGTGGGTTTGGGCGGGGAGAAGGAGCATAAGAGCGGGAAACAGGGTCGCGGGGCGAGAGAGCCGGGGATTGGCCTACGGACCGCGGAAGTCGGGCAGAGCCAGAGTAGGGTGATGCCTGGCCAGCCCTTAACGAGCTAGACACTCTTCGTGCGCCAGGGTCGATACGCGGATCGAGGGCGTCCCCACCTAGTTGCGCTGTCCTCGAGTCATAATACGCGTCTTGGCTCTCCTTTTGGAAATACCTGAACGTTGTTGATTTGGAATGAATGCATCACGTGATTGTGTACGTACTGGGATATGCGACTCTGCTTCATCATTGTTGGATATATACAATATTGGGTAAGTTTGATGAAGTAGGTGAGAGGAGGGAAGTAAGAAGTGGGAGAAGGGAGAGGAGATTAGGACTGTGACATGGGTGTGTGGTTGCTGGATGGTTGCCTCAAGGCGTGACTCGCTTCCCATTCCAGTCCCAGCGGATATGTGGCTGTGTCAACTTCTTTTATCACGTGCATTGGGCGCTCGGAGGGAAAATTGTGCCGACTGAAGGGACGATGACTCGCACGGTGATGGCAATCTTCTCACTCGCTGCGTCGGCAACTCCTTCAGATACCACACGCCCACACAGATCAAGCAGGGAATTCCACCTCTCACGCACTGTCGACATCCTCCATCTCTCTCTACAGCGAGGTGACATCCCCCGCGCTCAGAGAGCATGGGCAATCCTTGTCCGATGTAAAGAGTTCGACTGGAGGGCACAGTGGCGCATCGGGCTCGCTGTTCTCCAGGGAGGGGAACAAAGAAGAATCGACTATCTCCAAAAGGCGTTCCTCGCGTGTCCCGATGAGGTGCGCTTTTCCCTTATCACCTCACTCGGAGCTGAGGCGACGCAGAAAGAGTCTATCCTGAAAGAACTTGTACTCTCCTACATTTCCCAATCGAGGGAACGAGCCGCGCTAGACCAGCTCGAGCTCTATCTCCACGCCTTCCCATTCCAGGACAACCCCGCCCTTCACGCATATGCCGGCATGCTCTGTCTCTATCTTGCCCAGGCGGGAGAGACGACGTTAGGTGAGCGTTACCCCTGTCCCCCGGGAAGGATGCTGATGGGAATAGGAGCGGACCATAACCTCTTGCGCGAGGCAAGACAGCATTTTGCGACCACTATGACCTTGGACCCGAAGAACGAAGCTGCCCAGACCTACAGGCAGATGGTGCGTATCAAGATTTCTCAGTGCTGATCGCGAGCTCACTGCGGGGTAGGTTAGGGACATAGCGCAAGTAGGGAGGGAGGAGTGGAGATTTGATCTTTCGGAGGGGGAGGAGTCAGCGGTCTGAAGCACGGAGACGATGTGACGATGCACATGCGCGCCTGTCTCTCTGAAGCACGGACATGGGGAAAACTCTGCGGTATCTCTCTATGCGGCAGAGGCAGAGTCGATCACCTCACTCTGCTTGCCTTATAAGACGCTGAATCTGTCGGCTTATCTGTCCAAATTGCGGATGCGCCTTCATGAGCGTTAACTCTCCTCACCAGAAGGCGTGTTTGACGCCCTTGTCAAAATCGTATGGAGGTTCGGACAATCAGACGAATTCTTCTGCAGGTTCTTGACCATGTAATCTTAGTTTAATATCATCATGTATCTCATTCGCTTGTCTCCTGTCTCCTGTCTCCTGTCATTCTCCCCGAACACCGACTGTACAAATAACAATAAACAACCAACATTTCCGAAGCGGGGACCCTACCAATTTCATCACCGTCCCGAGTGTCGCGCTTCCTCTCAGACGCGCCCACCACGGCGTCCAACTCGTTGCAATCCCACAAGATGGCCCGCGCAGACTCCCCCGACGCGGAAGACACGCACAAGCAACAAGAACAACATTCTATACAGGATTTTGAGCTTCCCAAGACGCTCGTTACCCGGATTGCGAAAGCTGCTGTACGTCCTCATCCCATCCCGTGTCCCTTGTTTGTTCTTGCGCTTCATGATAAATGTCGGATGCTGTGTGTCGTGTGCGGGAGGTGTGCTGATACGGTGAGCAGCTGCCGGATAACATCAAGTTGCAAAAAGAGGCCGTCACAGCACTCGTCATGTCCACAACAGTGTTCATAAACTATCTCGGTACGCCCCTCCTCCCTGGGGCTAAGTTCATCCTACTGAGTGGTTCTCATAGCCGCCACCGCTCAGGACGTGACATGGTCCCGGTCGGCGAAGACGATCACGGCGCAGGACGTGCTCAAAGCGCTCGAGATTATCGAGTTTGACGACCAGGTCGAGCCAATGAAACGCGAGCTAGAGGGTGTGTCTTCTTCCTTCTTCCTGTTATGTAACGCTAAGTACGGGGTAGTGTGGAAGACGGTGCAGGACCCAAAGGGAAAGTCGAAAAAACGCGGTGCTGGGGAGGAAGAGCAGAAGGGGAAGAGGAAGAAGGCTGCTGAGGCCGTGGAGGAGAAAGGGGAGGAAGAGGAGGAGGAAGCTGATGAGGAAGAACATGAGGAGGAGCCGGAGGAGAACGAGGAGGTGGATGAGCTGGATGGGGAGGGCGACGAGTTGATAATAGAGGGTAACGCGCTGGGAGGCGAGCTTGGGGCTGGAGGGCAACCGGGTGAAGATGAGGAGATGGAGGAGCATGAGCCTCCAGAGGATGTGAGCATGGATGTGGATGTACGGGGATCGCAAAAGGATGGAGAGGAGGACTAGTGTTCCATCAGATGTAGTTTGTACTGTACATCTTGCATTGGCTTGCTGCGCATTATGAGGTTTGCTGATGTTTATACTAGAGAACTAATCATATTTTTAACCGCTTTGCCACCTTCAGGAAGGATATTGATGTCCGTCTAAAGTTCCACATGCTCCGGATTTCGAACACCCACAGTGAAAACACTACATCACTCCGAGCTCTTGGAAGCCAGCAAGCTGAAAAACCCTTCACCCTCCGGAACTTAGCAGAAGCCAAGCCAAGCACTAGCATCGTCACATCACTGCCTCGCAAGCTCATGTTGTGCCGGCACTGGCGGATCGAATAAGCCCAACCTGGACATCTATTCAGCTCTAACCAGCCACCTATAAGTAGGCGCTCGCACAATGCACCGTCAGACCCAGTCTAGCGTTCAGAGATTCCAGGGATGACGACTTTCATAAGCTTGTACGAGAATCCACGGTATACGACGCTCGTCCGGCTCTCTGGCGAGATCGTTTACCAGATAAAGACGGAACAAGGGGTCTCCTCAGTCCTGCGGGCGAGCTCCAAGCCGATGCGGAAGATAGCGAGGAGCAGGAATTTGAGCTTGCCGGGCAAATGCCGGGCAACATGATTCTAATCACCCGATGAACTTCAATGGGTACTCTGTTCTTCTAACCAGCAAGGGGTCGTTGATTCCTGGTAGGAGTGGGGAACGCTCAGCCCATCCTGGTGTCCAAGTTCCTGCGCGTACCGACCTCGGAAAGCAAAGTGAAACAATTTTTGAAAATAGCAGAGGAATACAAGTACGTCACTTGCGTTGCGTTTTCTTTCCCCGGACTATCCTGAGTTCTCCTAGTAAACGTGAGTTCACAGGCCCAACGGGAGACGTCTACCAATGGTCATTTTCCGGTCACATAGCAAGGTGCGAGGGGACTCCAACACCCAGCCCTGGGCGGTAACCGATGCTCCAGCTGTGCATGAAAGGCAGCCCCGACCCGATCGCCACATTTGCCAAAGGGTCGAGCTCCCTTCTGACAAGCGGTATCCGCCCTATCCTCGTAGTCGAAAGCCAAGCGTTGGACATGCTCGATCTTGTTGTGCTCACTTGGCTCGAGGTCTCCATCCTGTTCGACGCGTTCCAGAAGAGGGAGATGGTCTCGAATATGCAGACTGAGTATATTCTGGGGCCTTACAGTGCTACGCGGGGGATCGACTATTGAGCCGAGGAGAACATTTCTGACACCACACGAAGTCGCTTCACATTCCCTAGGGTGATTATATATACAGACCTTCCATAGGACGGGGAGTTGAGGTCGAGAGAACAAGGTCCCATCAGCAGATATCCTAATATCAATTGCAACAACATAGGCTGTGTATGTATTACAATCGAGTATAATCCTAATCCTATAAACAAAATAAGCCTCCCTGCCCTACCACCTACCAAACCTGCGGCTCCAGCCCAATCAGAAAATACTCCTACCGCTCGTCAAGCCCAGCGCCCTCACCCCCGCTCGTTGAGGCGCCGGCCCACCGCCCTTAATAGGACTCAAGATACTAGGTATGATACTATCCACCCCGTCGCCCGTGTTCAGCCCCGCAGCCCACTGGAACGGCGCCGCGCCAGGAGCTCCAAACAACTTGCGCTTCTTCTTCTTTCCTTGGTCTTCTTCTTCCCGAGCGGGCTTCGCCTGTGCTGGAGGTGCAGCAAAAGAGGTAGGAAAGGTCGATCCGGATATGGCCGGACCGTCGTTCTCTTTCTCGTCCTCTTCCTGTATGGGTTTCTCCCGCGGTTTAGGCTTCTCCTTCTCGGCGGCTTTCCGCTTCTGGCCCGCGGTAGAAGCGGGCTTCCGTTTCCCTCGCCCGGGGAGGTTGTCGTAGTAGTCACTCGCTTCTTGGTCAGATTCAGCATCAGAGCCAGGGGGAGATCGGGGTGGCAGTTTGCGGGGCTATCCGACTGTCAGTTCCAGGCCCATTTCACACTTTGAGGGGACGAGGACGCACCTTTGGTCGGGGTTTCGGCGCTGCTCTCGGCTCTGGCTCTTCAACAGTAGTTGTAGAGCTTGCAGGCTTGTGACTCCCTCCCGGAAGGACGGAGGTATCCCTCGTCGTTTGAGCCTGGACTCGGCCAAGTTGTTTCTGTACTTTGCCCAGCTCGGTTTGGGCTTTGTGGGCTTCTTCTTGCGCTTCGGAAGTTTGGTCTTGGGCTTTGGCGAGGAGTTCCTGCGGTCCGTCAGCGGGAAAAGTCGCTGATAAAATGACGTTCAACAAACCTCGAGCCTCTCGACTTTCCTCTCCATGCTCTCCAGCCTCTTCCTCTCCTTCTCCATCCCTTTCTCCCTCAGCTTCCCCTCCGCCACGTCCCGCTCCAGTTCCCGGACTCTCACCTCCAGAGCAGCCTTCGCCTCTCCAAGCTTATCGAGCTCCTTGTCGCTCTTCTTCTCCAGAGTCTGCCAGTCCGACATACGGGATTTGAGCTCCTTTTCTTGGGCTTTGAGCGTGTCCAGCTCCAGCTGGACGCGTTGGAGTGAGAGGGAGGTCTTGCGGTGCTGGGCTTCGAGTGCGGAGTGCTTGACTTGCAGGTGGTCTACGTGTGTCTGTCATTTCTCGTTAGTATGACACAACGAAGTGCATGATGAAGAAAGAAAGAAAAGTGGAAGGATAGACACACCTGAACATCTTGCGCAGCCTTCCTTGCCTCCTCTACCTCACCCTCTCCGGCTGACTTCAATCGCTCCACCTTGGCCAGCTTCTTCCCCAAATCGGTCTTGACACTTTCCAGTTCCTCGAGCGCCTCTTCAAGTCGCTCTGAGGCATTCTTCCGTTCCTCGTCGGCTTCCTCCTACATACCAGAGTCAGCTAACAAGACGGACGGGTGTACAGGCACGAACGGTAAGGTCTTGAATCTCCCATGTCAGCTCTGTTTCTCGCGTCTGAAAACGGGAAAGCCGGTGATCGCGTATAGCTAGTTCTGAATTCAGAGTGCATTCCATGAGAGCATCAGAGAATGAGAGACGGACTGTTGGCAATCTTCATCTGCAGCATAGAATGCTGGTCATTCATCTCCCTCAGTCTCTCCTCACTCAGTGCAAGCCTGTACTGTAGCTGCACCGTCTGGTATTGTTGTTGTATCTGCACGGGTTGATATCAACCTCACGCCCAAAAAAGCGCTATCGTCCCTCGCAGGGGAGACGCACCAACTCAGTCCCCTCCTTCCACCCTCTTTCCCGCTTCTCCATCTTCCTCTCCACCTCCTGCCTCGCCGTTCTCTCCTTCTCCAGTTCGGCGGTCAGTATCTGAGAACGCGCCACAAGCTCAACAATGTCTTGATCTTTCCGTCGTAGAGCTGCATGCTCGGGGGACATGGTAGGTCCAAGGTGGGCAAGGGAGGAGGGGGAGATGAATGTTGCCATGGCAGGCAGGTATATGCAGTTCGTTATTTATGTCGTTAAATGATGTGGTCGTCGCTGTCGGATATACTGAGCTCGCCGGTGCTGAATAGGAGGCCGTCGACAAAGAGCTGACTGCTCCCACGCGTCAACGCGCGCTTCCCTCTTTCACGTCACGCGGCTGCACAGCCACTGCACAGCCACTAGGGTTGACGCCGCCATCCCTAAGTGTGACATCACAACATCTCATGTGTGACTTGTGACGTGCCCGCCTCTTCTGTTTGCTTGTCGGTCGCCCGCCCACCATGACCGACAAGACACACGGCCTTGCCACCCTTTATATCCTTGTAAGAGGAGGCGCTCACGTGCTCTTCCTTGCTTTCCTACCACCACCTCGTAACCATCTCCTGCTCAACTCGACATCGTCTGCAAGTTGTTCAACGCCCTCTTCACCCCCTCAACCCTCCCCCTTGCGACACCATGTCATTCCTCTCAGGTCTCACACTTCTCACTCTCTCCCAAACGGTCAACATCCTCATCCTCGTCTCCTACATCCTCGTCATCCTCCTACTCCTCGGGGCCATCCTCTACTACCTCCCGCGTCCCAAGTCCGGTGATGAAAGGATACTCGCCAGAGTCATATTCGCCCTAAGCACAGTAGCGAGCGGTGTACATACGTGGTACTGTGAGTCCTTTTCATCCCCTCCCGAACCCCATCTGATTCCCATCAGACATGATCAAATTTCTCCAATTCTCGTACCACAACTACCTTGCTTCCCACCCACCCGCCTTCGGCACCCCGTCCCTCCTCACCATCGGCAGCTGGCTTGAGTCCACATCACTATTCGACGAAGCCTGGCGACACGTCTGTTCCTCCCCGCTGAATTGGTGGTGGTCCGAACATATCTGCCTGTTCACCGTCCCCTGGTGCGCCTTCGTCTATATCGAAGGCGTGCGTCATCGGATTCCGCATTTGTGGCTCTACCCGCTGCTAGGACAGCTAATGGCGATCAGCACAGCGACATCTCTGTTCTTCCTCGCACTCTTCTCCAGCCCGGTACTGGACCCTCCCATCCCCCGACCCAGACTTAGCGCACAAGTCTACCTCCCCCTCCTCGCCGCCGTATTCCCCGTACTCTACACCCCCAACCTCTCAGGAGACGTGTTCATGCCCAACCTCCTCCTCCTGCACCTACTCGTGCTCATCCCGTTCCTCCCGCTACCCAAACTCTTCGCCCTGCTCGGTCTCCCCGATCTCCTCCCCCCAGCAGAAGAGGGAAGCACCCTAGCCCCAAGCACCCTCCTCGCCCTACTCGAATCCCTCCTCTTCCTCATCCGATCCCTGACGCTGCTCACCCTCCCCCCTCTGGGATCCTGGTCTGCCCTCCCCTCCCTTCTTCTGCAAACCCTGTATGCCCACCCAGCCCAGAGCTCAATAGGCTTCGACGCAGTACACGTCTCCCTTCTCCTCCTACTCTACTCCCTCTTGCGGCGCGGCAGCCAGCCCTCCAAAGCGGGAGCGTACGAAGCGCTCAGCGCTCTAGCGGGGCTCATTGCCGTGGGACCGGGCGTAGTAGCCCCGCTCGTGTTTAGCGGAGGGCTGAGGGAGAAGAAGAACTTGAAGCTTGTGCAGAAGGAGGTGCTCAAGGTGGAAGTTGCGCCGAGGCGGACGAGGAGCGGGAGGTCGTATGGGGACGTGAAGAGCTGATGTAATGCACTGCATGGAGGGATGGGTTAGGGGAAGGAGAGGACAGGACTCGGCTGGTTTGTTGGTTGTTGTAGGATGTGGGTGGTTTTGGATGATGTTGGACGAAACATAATGGGTTTGGATCCCGGTCTATGTCTTTGTTGTTGCAGAAACAGCTTCCTGGTGGAGTCCCCGTACTTCTCGTCAAACGTTGTATTCTACTCCTTAATTATTATCCCATTTCGACCCAACATGCCCAGTCCGCATTCGTACACCCAGCACCCACTAGTGTTGTTCCTACTGATTCGCTCTTGTTCTTCCTTGTTCCATTTAGCTCCAATCCAATCCGCATCATTTAACCCTGATCCACCTTGACCTCTGCTCCTTCCGCCCTCCAACCTTATCAACACCCTTCCAACCCTCTCAGGTCTCTTACCTATCAACCTCAGGCTCCGCTCAGACGTCGCAAGAACATCCGCGAAGATCAAAAGGTTCCCCTTTCTTCCCGGGCTGTGCCACCTGGACCACGCGGTACTCCGAAGAACGCAGAATGCTGCTGATGCCAAGGGAAGTTTTTTCTTGCCTGGTGAAAGGGGGGTGGGGTAGGTATAGGAGGGCTGGGGGACAAAGAGGAGGGATGAGACGGGGGGGAGGGAAGTACGGGAGGGGCGGGAGAGGGGGTGACTCGCTATATACGATACGTACTGGGTGGGAGGATGCGAGTGGAAGGTTTAGGACCGAAAGAAAGTGGACTGGTCAAGGATGACGTGGCAGCGTTTCATAGGCTCTTGTCTGTTGCCAGACAAAACGAGAGAGTGGATATGAAGAGCGGTTGTGGATAAGCAACACGAACCACAAACCCAAAGATGGTTGGAGAACGTCTTCGTTTAGACATTGACATCACAGGCTAGCATACAACATCCTTTATCGTGCAGTCACTCCCCGGCGCCTGGGGCTGAGCAGGCAGCAGGGGGGAAGACAGGACAAGGAGCTTTCCGTGTCGTGCAAGCTGGGAGTACACTAGGGGAAAGGAGACATAGGTGTAAAACGGGAGATAGACGAGTAGACATGGAGATGGATAGACAGGTACACCAGTAGAAAGGGGGGAAACTACTCATAACCAGCTCCCACCAACCTCTACAACGATGTGTGAGTCATGTAAAACGAAGACAGGGGAGGACGCACGCTCAACCATGACGTCGATCGTGTCCCCATCCTGCATCTCCAGCGACGCGGGCGTCTCGTCCTCTCCCAGCCTCTCGCCGTCATACAAGAACCTGTGTGAAATGAGTCACGGTCCAGGCGTACGTACAGAGGGAGAACGAACCGGATAGTCTGCACGTCCTTCCCGACACGCTGGGCATACGCGCCCTTCAGCTTGGACATCTTCGTGTTCCTCTTGATCTTGAAGAACACTTCGTCCCCCGTGCTAGTCACGACCTGCACATGCGCGCATGAGCATGCGTGCTCCTGCGCAGTGCCGGGAGACGACCCGAACGAAAACGTACCTTGACGTTGATAGGCTGGTTACTGTCCTGCGGCTTATCCTCCTGGTCATGCTGCTGTTCCTGATCTTCCGCATCGGCCATGACGTTCCTTCTACCTTGTAGGGTGTAACGCGTGTGCGTGCAAGTGCTCTTAACCGATGAACTGAAGCTTGGACAGGAAGGTCCGGTCCAATGGGTGGTGGTGGTGGTGGTTTGTGTTAAAGAGAGAGAGAGAGAAGGGAGAACGCGCGCTTTGTACAACGGGAACAACGGTGGCGAATTTTAGCCCGCGTCGGCGTTTACCGCCGCCGCAGACCCCACGCGCCTGTGAGTCGACGAGGTTGCAAGTCACAGTTATCGAGGAGCTCAGACTGTTCCATATATATACCGCTAGAAGCTGATGAGATACTAGGAATATAAGGAGGTGTAGAACATCTCCTCGTCTAATTGTAAACCTTAGGCACTCCCTAAAGAAGCGTATTCTTCTCCTTTGTGAAGTCATACATATGCGCTCAATACTGGAGAATATGCATTTTCGTCTCCAAGCTCAAAGCTTGGAGACGAAAACCCGTGTAATCAACCTGCATTTGCAGTTAAACAAAGTCTCCTAAAGAGGCATTATCAACACTGTCCAAGACTGAAACGCAAACGAGCTCAGAAAGTCCTCAACAATCCACATATATGCATACACGCATCCAACTCACCTTGAAGGAGAGAAGCTGGTAGTACGATGCAATTATAACCTACAATGAAAGCCGAAGTTAAAGCTGAGCTGATCTAAGCCTACTACTACTAAAACGGACACAAGCGAGGGTATGAACCAAAGCCTACAAAACACATCGATGCACCAAGATCCTCGCACACTCCCCACTCTCCACTCCTCGCCCAACCCCATCTAGTCCATCAGACACAGCGTCGAACGAGAGGGTTACAGACCAACAATCCACACGCTCAGTACGACACCAGCAAGCAGGCCTACCATCCCCCCCGGTATCCTCTTCCCCTTGAGCGCTGCGCCTGTCGGGCTGGCAGAAGGGCTGGCAGATGGGGTCGATGGGGTCGATCCCCCCGAGGCGGGTGTGCTGCCTGTAGGTGACCTGCTGTGTCAGTGTTTTGTGTGTGCGGAGGGGGAGGGGAGGTACCGATCGTTAGGGTGCTGATGGGTGCTCCGGCTGAGGAACAGCCAGAGACGAAGCCTAGGAAGGTAGAGGGTGAGCTGCTGTTGCTTTACAAGGGGAAGGGGAGGGGGACGTACTGTTCAGCTGGCTCTGGGCAGCTTGGATTTGCTGCGGCAGTACTCCGCCTAGGTTAACACCGCAGTTTACACACTGGAGCAGCTCGGACCCCACTGTGTTGCTACACAAGCAAGTGGTGTTACTCGAGTCTGTCCCGCAGCCCTATCGACGCATCTGTCAGCTAGGTTCTCACGAGGATTGTTTGCACGGAGGGGAGGGATGGAGGGAGGGGACGCACGGTAATGGCGGTAACGACGCTGCATTGGGCTGTACAGGCCGAGGGAATCGATTGTGGGAAAGAGGTGTCTTGACGTAGCTGAAGGGCGTGGATCGCCGCCGGTGAGGGGGTAGCGATTGCCAGAAGGGCTATGGGGGGTCAGTTGGGATCCTGCTCCGGATGGGAGGGAGTACCTGAGGTCAGTAGGAGGAGAATGATATGCATTGGTTTTGATTGTTAGAGGTTGGAGAGGAGATGAGAGTGGAGATGTGGGGGGAGTTAGATAGATGTATTGATGCTCGAGCAAGGGGTTTCCTAGGGGCAGCGCGAGAAGAGGAGAGGAGAGGGCGTCACTCCACAAACAAGGGAGCTGGTTTTGCCAGACCAGTATTTTGAGATCCGACACTAGGTCGGGTAGATAAGGGATAAAACGAGTGAGGGAGGAGAGAGAGGGAGGATGAAGAGCTGTACAGTCAGGTTGGAGGAATACTTGAATAGGACGACGGTGGTTAGGTGTACAAATAGAATGGATTATCCCTCCATCCCCGGCCGGAGGCTGTATTACGCAGATTCAGCACCGCGATCAGAGGCAATATATTGAGACACACGTGTAGCCGGTCACCGCTCACTTTACCGCCTTAGACACAGCCCAAATACCTTGTTGTCAGGACGCCGATCACTCGTGTACTCTGATCGGTCAGGCAAGTAAGCGGCTATCAGCATTAATGTCAACAATAATGAGCCATAACAGCGCAGTCATAATCTCCTATGCGTGATTTGACTGCGCAGCCAGCGGCAACCTCCGTCTGACAATATGTATCAATTTCAGAGGCATATCCTTTTCGGCTCCTCGGAAAGTCCTCCGTCTTCCCTCATAGAGCCACACCACACCACACCACACGAGCCCATCAACCATCATCTCACCGGATTTTCGCTCATCAGCACACGGACGCGTACGGCATCAGACTAGACGCAGAATCACAGTTCCTTCCCTTCCTTAGACTTCTTCGCTTCGAGCTTGTCCATCGCCCTCAGCCTCTCTGGCAGCGTAGGATGCGAATAATGATACGCAGAGTACCTTTTCCCCCATCAGTTCCTCGCCTGGGAGATGAAGAGGGAGAGACACTCACAGCCAGTCTACATGTAAGGTGCTCAGGTTCTTCACGTGCAGCTTGACGAGCGCGTCCCCGAGTCGCTGTTTCATCTCCCCTCCCATAGCGACTGCAAACGCGTCTGCCTGGTACTCATACGCCCTAGTAACGGCGTGCATCGCGAACTGCATCGCATGTTCCAGGGGCTGGAGGAAGAGCTGGAAGAGGAGGAACGTAGGTAGGATGGGCGCGCTGGTCGGGTAGAGGGGGATGTTGAACGACGGGAGGAAGGTGCGTGAGCTGAGGAAGGGAGGAAAGGAGCTGAGGAGCAGGAAGATGTGCACTTGGTTTAGGAGGAGAAGCTTGGTTGGGTGAGAGAGGGACCAGTGACCGAGTTCGTGTGCGAGGACGGCTTCCACTTCTTCCTCTGTTGATTGGGTGATCAGCGTGTCGAAGATGACGATGTGCTTGCTCTGCCAGGAGTGTTAGTGTGCTGCAGGTACGCGGAACTCAGAGAGGTGGCGCACCCAGGGCAAGCCGTAGAAGTACGCATTAGAGTGACTGCTCCTCTTGCTGCCGTCAATCTGGTACAGGTGTTTCAGAGGGAACTTGAGCCTCCCCGCAAGCCCTTCGATACGCTTCCTGAGGCTACTGCCTTCTTCCAGCGGGGTAAGCTTATTGAACAGCGGCTGGATGACAAGCGGGAAGAGGACGACCATAACCAGCTGGAAGACGAGCAGGAAGCCCATGAGGTACGTGACGAAGTCCTGCCCGAAGTGCTTGATTATCCCCAGGAAGGCGGCGAGGAAGGGCACGCCTAGGAGGGCGCCGATAGCCAGAGACTTGACAAAATCGAGCCAGAAGGTCAGGTGGGTCGTCTTATTGAACCCGTGGTGTTGCTCGAGCACGAAGGTGTAGTAGTAGTCCCATGGCAGGGAGGGGATCGTAGCGAGGAGAGCGAGGATACCGGCGAAAATGATGGATTGTGCGATCTGCGGATGGAAAGTTAGCTCTGTTCTATGCTGCCATAAAACAAATGGCGGAGGTCGAGAAAGGACCGTTGCACGCACCTCTCTCTCACCCCCATACCCGAAGTAAGCCAGCACGCCCGCACTCGCACTCCATGCCCAAGCATAGAAGTCCGAATACAAGATCAGCGTCCCCTCAAACATGCCCCATACAGTTTTAGTAAGCGTGAAGAGGGCTTTAGAACGGCCATATGCTTGGGACTTTGTGTATGTTTCCAGGGGGAAATGGTCGGCTAAAGAAGAGGGCGGGGCTGGCTTGGAGTAGTTCGGGAGCTGGCGGAGTCTATCAGAAGCATAGACGACATCAGCAAGTACAAAAGAGGCGAGGGATAGACGACGGACAGGATAAGCGTCTCAAATAGGCTGCTGGCGAGGGTGAGGCCGATACTGATGAGTCTCCAATTCAAAGGGCCGTGAGCGACGCGCAGGATCGGCAGCTGGATGGTGAGCTGCATCTTGTGTAGGACGCCTAGGATGGGAGAGACGAAGGAACGGAGTATGTCCATGAGTGATGTTTTTCCTGGGTAATGAAATGAGCGAGACGACGTGGATTTTGGAAGGAGTGGGCAGTGAGGAGAAACGGCGGTCATGTGCAAGAGAGGCGACATGTTTCGGCATGAACCAGATGATTATGTAAGACATTTACGTGCCACTTCCAGTCGAAATAATCGTGCCTCGAGCGCTGCTCATTTACTTCTTATAGTTCTGTCACCACCAACTTGTTCTCTCCTCCTCCTCCTGATGGATAAGGCCACGGGCCCGTTTGATCCTGGGTTTGGGAGAAGGATCCCAATAGATGGTGGAATCATAAGAGGGAGCTGTTTGAGCTTGGAGTGGTGGACTGGAAAGACTGGAAGGAGTGGGATTCGGACAAATATTTCACGAAGGCGAATAAGGGCTCGAGTTTGGGCAAGGAGCATAAGAGGGCGCTCAAGCAATATGAGAAGGAGCAGCAGGAAGAAGAGGAACAAGCGGAGGACGCAGAGGATATGGACGAGAGGAAGATCGCGTAAGACGATCTAGATATTGACACGCCAGACAACCTCCAACATCTAAACGCGACTAATTCATCTCGCTTGGTCAGGCTGAGGGACAGCCGGAGCCACCTGAGAAGAACGAGACTATGAGGAACCTCTTCGATGCTGAGATTGCATACCAATTTGCGCGCAAAAAATCTCCCGCGCAACAGCGGGCACAGGGTAGCTCGTTCTCCAGGATTTCTCTGCCGCAGGTAACGTCCCTTTTCTCCCACAGGATCTCAGGATGTACGGCGAAGCGCCCAGGGATATTTTGGCAGCACATTGTATACCATATCTACCCAATCACCACCTGCTTAATGATCGGTACGCATCTGTGTTTCCTATTCCAGAAATCACTGTGTCTGGGACCCGTAACCGCGAATCTTCTCCGCAAACGACCACTCCGTCTCGGAGGAAATTGCGTCTCCAATCTGTACACCGCGCTCCGTGACAGTGGCAATTTGGAACTACGACCGTATGAGGACGTCTGCTGTAAGACAAAGTCGAAGGCATACCTTGTTCAATGAGCGTGCGTCCCGATAGAAAAGCACCTTCATGCACTCCTGGATGATAGCACGTGCCTCTTCCTCTGTCATGGTTGTCTCACGCCCTTCGACCGCTCTCCTCAGCAGCGGTTGAGCAATGTATGCGCCGTACCCGGTTGCGAGGGTAGAGGCAGTGTATGTCGTTCCGAGCAAATCGACATAGCCGACGAATCTGCGCTGTCATTAGCAGAGAAGACTGTGAGTAGCAAGAAGATACATACGACTTGCCATCTTTGAAGCCGCCCACAAGGAGCGAGTTCCACAACGGGTTCATCTTGCTCCTCCGGGCATACATCACCTGAGAGAGATAGTGATATATCTCGTCCGGTCCAAGCTTGTGCCCATCCTCCGAAGTATATTCTTCGATCCTGTGACCACCGTCAATAACGACACAGCTTATGAGAACGAGCAGAGGAGACATACATCAAGTCATCGAGCAGGTGTTGGAGGTATTGGAAGTCGGACATGTCCCCTCCAGCTCCGATGAGGGTGTATTGACCAACGGAGTGCAGACGGGAGATATCCTTGAATCGTGCGAGAGAGCCATAAGAAGCTAGCAGGCACTATCAGTCGAGAACGTAAGGCAGAACGAACGAGCGAGCATACCAAGGCAATCCGCAGCCATCATAATCCCATCCTTGTACTTGATAGCCAGCACGGACGTTCCCGTTACAATGGGTTGTCTATGCATTATCTCAGTGATAATATGACTAACAGATGCAACAGAACGCACTGTGTATGCTGCACGCCGTCGGTGAACGCGTCATTCTTCGGTCCGTGCCTCTGACGCTCGTTCACAGGGTAAGTAGAGTACAAGTCGACTGCATCATTGCGCTGCTCTCGTGTCAGTACCTTGTCGTCCTCTTGTAATCAAGCGTACTGGGCGGCCCCAAGACAGAGGGAAATGGTCCATATTTGAGCTAGTTGGAGGGGAAAGGGAGACGGATACGCTCTTTGAGCGTTCGAGGACAGGGTGCGCGTGAACTGGAACGACGCGCAAGCTACTGCACTGCCACTAGAAAGAAGGACCGGAACAAGCTCTTCGGCTCCGACACTCACAAGCCACGGCTATTCGAGAGCGAAGAACAATACAATTGAGTTGTCCTAGGTCCGTCCCCAGTGACGCAATGACTGCTAGCTAACCAAAGGTGGCCAAGCTCAGATTGAGCGCTGCACACTGTTCCAACTCAAGCCACCCCGTACTCCGCTCCGGAACACTCAGCACTCCTGATTTCCTCTCCACCGGCCGCACCAACAGGCTTCCAAGTCCCCTCTTGAACCAACATATTGTACGTGTTCGCATATCCCCTGACGGTGAGATAGGCCATGCTCGGGTTGGGGTTGTACGAGCGGATGAAGGATGCCCACCGGTCTAGGACGGCTTGGGCGAAGGGAAGGTCGGCGGCATCTCGGTAAGGCAGGGCAGCGCGGTTCAGGGAGCCGAAGGCGAGGTACAGGTCGCCGGAGTGGCAGCTAGGATCAGCCATCTGTCAGCCTAGGACGTTGTGCAGTAATAGGAAGATGCTTACTGGAAGTACTCTTGACTCGGGTCGCCATACGGGAACCCTTCCTCGACAGGAGGCACACAAGCCGGCCAATTGGGACTCCACCAGTTCAGCTGATAGCTTCGCTCAAATTGGTAGTACCACAGGCTCTTGAACAGGCTGTGATTCAGGCCTGATTGGGCAGTTGCCTCCGATAGACAGCGGAAGATGGTATCTGTACCCATGCGAGCCGTCAGATTGAAGATGTCCAGTGTTGTGTTCGAGCCGGAAGGGAGGGGGAACAGACCACTCGAGAGAAGCGGGCCAATAGATGCATTGGAAGAACGAAGAGATGTGAGTATCCTGTTGAGCTTGTAATGCTGCCAGAAACATACCCCGTGGCTGCCACAGCTGCATTAAGCAAACTTTCACCTTGGGTCGGATATGAGATAATCGCTGCACCATCGTCTCTCATGTTGCCGATCATAACATTAACGCGGGCGAGTGGGCCAGTACCCGTTAGCGGCAGTTCAGTAGTTGTCACATACGTGCCGTCAACAACGGGTGCACTAGAACGCGTTAGCGCCTGCAGCTGTCACAATACAGGGCACGTACTTTGCAACAACGCTGATATTTACCAGCTGCAGCGGGTCATACGCTTTCAAACAGCTCAGTTGCTGTGCCACATTGTCTGTACCGTTGCATCCCGTCAACGCCAAAATACCTTGCGTTGTGCTGTTGTATTCTTGCGTAATAATCGGATAATACGTCCATGGCGCACTCATGCCACTTCCTACGGGATCGCTCTGCAGTATCGCGCCATTAAACAACCCGATGGCTGGTGGGCTGCCCAAGAGCGCTCGTACGCTCGCAGCACCCGCACTCTGCCCACTGACAGTCACACGCCTAGGGTCACCACCGAAGGAAGCGATGTGCTCTTGCACCCAACGCAGTGCTGTAACTTGGTCTGCAATGCCGAACGAGCCGTTCGTCTTCCCATCCGGGAGTGCCAAGAATCCCAGTGTGCCGAGGCGATAGTTGATCGTCGCGACCACCACATCGCCACGGGAAGCGAGGGCATCGCCGTCAAAGGTCGGGTCAGGACATGCCGTTCAGGAACGCGCCTCCATGTATCCACACCAGGACTGGTTTGAGTGAGGATGAAGAAGACGTAGTGGAGAGATGAGGCGTCCAGACGTTAAGGAAGAGACAATCTTCACTCCCCGGCCCCATGCCTCCGATTTGAGTGCAAGGAGAGCGGTAGGAAGTCGCATTTATGCTCGAAGGACCCGAATAGACGGTAGAGTACTCGAAGCGGGAGGGCGCGTTGGCATAGGGAATACCGAGGAAACGGAAGGAGAGCTGGTCGCGTGTTCTACATATATGGTCAGTCCAGACCACAAGGACTGAAGGGGCAATAAAGCCCACCCGAGAAAGCTCAAGTTCCCACTTTGAACCCCTACTCCGTACTTAGGATCCACAGGAGGGAACATATCCCACTCGGCGGGCACAGTCCCCTCCCCCGTGATCGTCCACCGCGCACTCTGTGTGCACAGGACCGGGAGTTTCTCCCCACAGCCCGCGGCAACAACTGTCCCGAATGCTCCCACCGCCTGGCAACCGCCCGAAGAGGACGGCGAGACCCAGTATCGCTGAAGGAATGGGTGATGACCGAGGAAGGACTGGTAGGCAAGCTGGTGTGTCATGTCGTAGGTGAAGAAAGGAGAAGACGTGGAGAGGAGAGACTCAGATAGCTGAGAGCAGGCAATGGATGCGGAGGTGCTATTAAGCGGTGTAGAGAGAAGCAGCGCCGAGGGATGGTTGGAGAATTCCGTCCCTGCATGATGTGATTAATACAGGTAAGTAAGAGCGTGAGGGGGCTCACAGTTGAGGTCATTCTGAAACAAGAGCGTAATGTCACTCCGAAGAGAGGTAGGGAATGGCGATGCCTGCACTAAGGCTGCGAGACCTCTCGCCAATCCGACAAGGAGATAGAGCAGCATCTTCCAGCCAGCACAGGTGGCACCCATCTCCGCAAGAGCAGCTTTATACTCCTTCTCTCATCATAGCGAACCAGCAAGAATGAATGAAGTACAGGTTGTCCTACTGGACGAATGGAGTCACGGGAGAGCAGATATGCCGTACCCTGCCACTGGTGGACTGAAGGATAATTGTGGGGAAGACGTTGCTGAGCTTCTCATACCCCATATATGGTCAATGGAGTTTGCCCGATATTTCTCCTCGACAAGATGAATAGGCAAGGATGACATTCTCCAGTTCAGAAGCTCTTGAACATGAGGTTGTTGGTTCTCAATAGATTTGTGTTGAAGTGAACAATTCGTGTTGGCCGCAGTGGACGAAGAGTACTCGTGCGTTGTTGAGCACATGGGATGGTGGAGAAGTGTTGGGCGCTTCTTGTCTTCCAGTGGCGGTGCATAATTTCCCTGAAGTTATTTACCATTTCTTTCTCTTCATCAGCTGTTTCCCCTCCCAGTGTATCCAATGGCCCGCAGAAGAAAACACCGCACACATGACAAAGGAGCTGCTCCAGATGCGGACGATGCGTCTACTCCGAAGTCTTTCATCATCAAGCATGGTCAAGTGGGGTCCTCGCTCAGTGGGCTCGTGAGGGATATGAGGAAAGTGATGGAGCCAAACACTGCAAGCCGGTTAAGAGTACGTCTGTATTGACCATCTGCGGTAAGTACGGTACTGATATTTGGGACAGGAACGCACACGCAACAAATTAAAAGATTATCTTACTCTCGCTCCTGCTTTGTCCGTCTCCCACCTCCTGCTTTTCACCCTCAGCGAACGCTCCCCGTACCTTCGCATCGTGCGCACCCCTTCAGGTCCGACCGCAACATTCCGTATCGAGCGTTACTCTACCATGGCCGACCTCCGCTCCGGAAAACGCAAGCCACGGGGTGAAGGCACTGAGTACCGGACATCACCGCTCATGGTGTTGAGCCAGTTCCCACAAGAACCGCCCAATGGATTGGTGGCGAAGCTCCTGCAAAGCCTCTTCCCCCCTCTTTCACCGCTGTCGCTCAAGCCTTCCTCGGCGAGACGAGTAGTCCTGCTCTCCTATGACGCGGAAACAGGCACTATCCAGCTGCGGCATTACCTCATTTCCATCCGATCGTATGGCGTGAGCAGGCGGGTGCGGAAAGTGCTTAAACCTGGGCTGGATTTGGGTAATGTCAAGGATGTGGCAGACTGGGTGCTAGGAGAAGAAGGTTACGAGAGTGCCAGCAGTGCGGGCAGCGAGGGAGAGGAGATGGACTTGCCGGTGCTTGCTGCGCTCGGTGGGAGAACGCGCAAGGGTGAGGGCAGTGTCAGGGAAGGCAGTACGCAGGGAGACAGGAAGAGGGCGGTGAAGCTGGAGGAAGTGGGGCCGAGGATGGAGCTGAGGCTGGTGAAGATCACTGAAGGCGTGCCAGGGAAGGAAGGGGGTGTGATATTCCATGAGTTTGGTACGCGATCAAGCGTATTGTTCTGGAGTGAATGCTTATATTGAGAACAGTACATAAAACTGCGGCGGAGAAGAAGGCGCAGGAGGCGGAGATCAAGGAACGTGAGAGGGTAAAGAAGGAGAGGAGGGAAGAGCAGGAGAGGAACGTGGCGCGCAAAAAGGCGTCTGGCAAGCCAGGGGATGAAGACGATGATGACGAAGAAGCAGACGAAGAGGAGGAAGCGGAGGACGATGTGACAGAGGTTGAGGAAGAGGGCTGGGAAGATGACGTGGAAGAGGCAGAGCAGACAGAAAACGACAGTGAGAGCGAACAAGATGCACCACCGCCGCCCAAGCGCTCCAGAATACGTCGTTAATCATGGCTATTTGTTTGTTTGGATTTCACGCCATACTATTGCATACATGTAATCGTTACATTATCGTCTGTTCCTGCTCACTCCGGAAGCGCTCGGCCCTGCAGCACTTCGCTTGATCTCTTCCTCATCCAGTCCGGCTTCCGCCAGAATCCTTTCAACCTCCTCTAAGAGCGGCTTATATGACGCTGAAACATGTCAGTTCGGTGAATGTCATGTGCAAGAGGCCACACGCACCATATTTCTCTTGCGCGAGTTCGAAACCGTCACGCCGACCTTGTTTGCCTCGGTTCTGGGTGATCTCCAAGGCTTTCTGTGCCCAATAGGTACCTGAAAAAAAAGGTTAGGACCGAGCAGCAATTACACAGCCGAAACAGCGTACGTGACCGATCGTAAAACATAGCAATCGTCTCTCCAGGAAGAGGTGTGCTGATGACTTCCTCAGGGGAGCGCGTAGCATCCATGCTCACACCCATGAACGCGGTCGCCTTTTCACGGATGTCCTTGTCCGGTGGTTCTGTTTCCATGAGCTGGTCTTTTGTCTCTTCTCCTTCAGCTTCATCCTCATCCTCATCTGCTTGCTCATTCAATTCCAAACTGTCCACATCACTGCTGTCCTCGCTGTCGTCATCGTTGCTTTCCTCATTGCCGAAGACGATCGTGTTCGGCCGCAGACAGTAGAATCGGTCCATCTTGTCGAGCTGGAGAGCGTAAAAATCGTCTAGCGTGTACTCGCGGGCACCAGATTCGTAGATGCCACCATAACTGATCCAAGGTAAGTAGGGTACGAAATGAAAGATATGAAACATACATGAAGAGGGTGTTCCGTAGAACGGCAAGCATAGCATTATACCTTGGAGGAGGAAGGGTGTCTTCGGGGTCATACGGATCATCATCGATCGGAGAAGTCACTACGTCTGGTATTGCAATTGGGGTCGGTATGACCACTTTCGGTGAAACAGGTGTTTCCTGGTGCAGATTTAAAGGGTGAGAATGTTTGGGGAGAGGGTAGAACGGAACGAACATCAACATCGATGGCGTCACCGTCCTCCTCAACCTCATCATGCCCTTCCTCTTGAGCATCTTCCTGCTCTGCCGGTGTTTTTAGGGTGACCTCGGGTACTCTTTTTCTCCGCCCGCCCGCCTTTTTGGGTCGCCTGAGCATCAGCGAAACCCATTTGCCATTCCCGGATGTTTGATAGCCGTACCTGAGGGGAGCTTCAATAACACTGGGTATATGAAAGAGGACGGACGAACATGTCATTGTAGAAAGTGCTCTCCAGTGTTTCCTCGTCCGTATCATTATCAAATACACCTCCGAACAGAATTCCCATGCCACGGTTGGCCCACCATGCCATGGTACAACCTGACCGGGCTGATGGTGGATGTCCGGCTTTCTTGCGTCGCTCCCATTTAAGTAATTTTGGATCAGCGTCCATTCTATTATCAGGGTCAGAAATGAACTGAAGAGAACAGTCATACCCAGGGAATCGTACCGTAATAGCCAATTATCTTCCAGCGCAACACCGTGCGCTCGTTTGCCCTTCACATACTCTTTGCAATAACCGCCTAATATCCAAGTTAGTGACTGATGGCATATTTTACTATTCGACAGTACCGTGCAGTATCACGCCTTCTGGTACAGGAAGGAAAGAGAAACCACTTCGCGGTCTTGCAGCAAGGATTAGGGCTGACCATCAACTCGTAGGAATACATACGAAGGCTTTCGATCAACATCCCTAAACTCTACTTCTTGCCATTTATACGTTTGTGTGTCAAACAGCCAGATATCGTTGAGATACACGGCTATGATAAGAATTGGTGAATGCCCGTGAAGGCGGATAACGAAACACGCACTCCTGACGCCGGGATCGTAGAACCCGCCAAAAAGGACAATCAGGTGCTTCCACACCGCCATTCTATAAAGTCATGTAGAAGGAACAAATGATCAAAGCGCACTACGTACCTGTGGCCCGATCGAGCTGTGGGTCGAACTTTCGTTTCGATTCTTTCCCATGTGCCCGTTGGTATATCGAATTGCCAGAAGTCACGATAGTGGTGGAATGACGTCTGGTTCAAAGAGGAAAATTCCCCACCTTTATATCGTAAGATTCAATAGCCGTTAGACATAAAAGTGAAGATCACCGAAGAGAAATAACTTTCCCCCAGCTTGCGGCATGCCTACCGTGGCATGGGCTGACCGCGGACCGGGGCATGTCGGCGACGTGTATCGACGCCATTCATCCTGCATGGTTGTCATTTCAGCCAATCCACTTATACCCCATTATGAAAAGTACCTTTTCCGGTGTATAGCGGTATACGTCATTATAGAAATACTGGTTCGCATTTAGCACATGCCGCAGAGTCGTGGAAGGACGCACCGCTTTCCCATCATCACTGAAGTATTCCCCGCCTATGCTGACAACCCCGCCTCAACCTCAGTACAACAGCATGTTTGGTGTCGTACCTATGCTCCAGAGATAGTTTCCGTTAGGATCAGGAGTGAACGTCGCATTGGCTCTTCGGCTTGGGGGACCCTCGACGGTCTCTTCGGTAACACGATGTTTCTGTCAACTGTATTAGGACCGATAGGAACAATGTTATTGACAACATACCTCCTCCCATTCCTTTCGCATCTACCAGTCATCTCGTGTGTTAACTATGCAAGTGCCAGGCATGCGGTATAAGAAGCGCACCTCCTCAAGAATCGTCTCTAGATCCTGATCGTCTTGATCGTCTTGACTTCCCTTCTTGGTAGCTTTGTCTTCTTTCTTCGCTGACTTCTTTTCAATTTTAGCTTTCTTAGCAGCCTTCGCGGCGGCATTGCCTTTCTTCTTAGCCATGATATGTGGTAGTACTCAGGCGCGCCGTAGACTGGGTTGCAAACCTCAGGTTGGCGCCTCTTCAGGCCAGGTCGGCGATAAGTTGAACACAGGATTCGGCGTTAACTGATTCTATTTGTCTTCCTGGAGAAATTCCGCTAATCTACACTAGTACATATAGTGGAACACGAGTCCTTTGATTGCGAGGTCCTTGCGTGGTAATTAATCATAAAGAGAGAATCCGAGAAGGCTGCGCTGGTGGATTTTATTGGTATTTATTTTTGGTTTTTCGTGCACCACTTCCTAGTTCCCGGATAGGGACCGATACGCGTGGAAGAGGGCGTCTTCGAACAGAGGATGAGTGTCTTCCACAGGATCCTCCTCTCCGTGACACTTGGCAGCATGCTTCCACCAGAAAATTTCCCGTACCTGAAGATATGTCAGCATCGCAGTTCACCCTTGGGTCCATGGTGGAAGCCTCACTTTGACATCGCCGGACCGGACACCATCGAGTGGAATCCACTTCTTGCATCGATGACAACGACCCTCGCGCATGGTATCCTTCATGTTCTTAGTATTCACACTTCTTTCGGTCGTCCGGAATGCTAGTGGTGGATAAAAAGGTTTTCCCGTTCGGGCGGAAATTCCATGATGATGTTGCATATGGTAGCTGTATTCAATAAGTCATGGTGCTAATAGGAAAGTTTGTAACTGCTCACTCTGCGAAACAGTGAGAACTTCACTCAAAAAAAGCAAAAGAGAGCACTTACTGTATGCCGAAACTTTGGTTTTGTACGCTACTCTTTTACCTTCACCACCCCGGCTGATGGGCTCGATGCAAACAGGACACATGGCCATCTTGTCCTTCCCCATGCCCTTGACTAGTCGAGGTGTATACAGGTCATAGACCGAACGTGGTTCGTTGTAAGTCCATCCGCCCTGGGGTTGCTTCACAGTCATGCCACTGGAACAAACTGGTCAACAGCGGCATTAGGAACAAGGGCATTACATACATCTGACGGAGAGCACGGTGACCAATTTCATCTTCGCGAGCGAACAAGGACGACATGGGCCATCGCCGGTAAAATAGTGAAAAGTCTTCCACGATAGGAACGTCCGGAGGAAGAATTCGCCTAATGTATGCGCCGGTTTCATCGAAAATGGCCGGGTCACGTTCAGCAGGTACAGGAGAGGAGGGTTCCTCTGCTGACTCTGAGGAGATCGTGGCCGGATGGGGGTCATCAGAGCCAACGCTGCTGCTTGTGGTCTTGATCGTGCCAGAGCTGGTGTCACCTTGAACAGAGTGCTGCGATGCGGTGAGGGATGTAAGTGTGCTTGAAGTCCAAGTCCGAGCTGGTCTACTTGACGTAGAGGTTGTTGTACTACTTGAAGACAATCGCTTACGGCGTGATTTTGTCGATGTAGCCGGGATGATGGGTGGGGCGGCAATGATGGGCGTAGGAGCACATATCGATAGTCGGAAGCGCTTGTTAGGAGGCGACGAGGGCTCTTCGATTGCATAGGGGAGAGGACGTTTGATTACAGAGGTGGTCTGGTTTTCTGGAGAGTCGTCGTTAGAAGACAGAGAGGTCAAAGCCGAGGAAGGTGCAGGAGAGGGAGGGACGTAGTCAAGGTCCTCCTTTTCCCACTCTGCGGTACTGCGGAGGGCTGAAACAGGTGTATTAACACGCTCGTGCCTTTTGAGGGATGAAGGAATGACAGAGAGATATCCTTCGGCTGTGAGGGATATTCCGGATCTATGGCTTGAAGACGAGCTTGACCTTGAGTGCCCACAGTTGCTTGCGAGGGGCGTCACCTGCACTTCTGTTTCTGCAACAGCAATAACAGTTGTCTGAACCTTGCTGATAGGCTTGGAAACCTCAACAAGAGGACGCGCCTCAGGTATGACTGGCGAGACAGAACGCATCTCGAAGTTGCCTAGAAATGGATTGGGGCTATGGAGAATACGCCGCGTCCGTTCAGGCACCGGAGAAGTGGAAGTAGAGCTAGAGGTGCGAGGAGAGTCAGACCAGGAGAAGGCAAAGTCCGGAGGTTCGTAGACTGCGTCAGGAAGGCCTTCGAGTTGATGAAAGAGAGGTGAGTCAGGACTATCTTGAGTGAGGTACGTAGGTGTGAACGAAGAAAAGTCCTGAAGTGCATGTAAGAGCTGCTCTTAACCAATTTCTTACGCATTTACATCATCATACGAGAACAGTTTCGGAGAGCTTGACTCGGACACGCGGTCAGATGTAAACGTGGGGTCTGGGAAGCCGGAAGTTGGGATAGACAATGACACCGCATACGGGCCGCGCGCATGCGAGTCAAGTCCAAAGGAAGAGACAATGTTCCGCCACTCGTCAGTTGTATGCTCAGCGTCAATGAACGGGTTCGCATGCAAAAGCAAGGGGGGAGACAAAGAAGAGAAAGAGTGAGGATGTGGCGGAGTACGGCTTTGTAACTTGGCCGAGTTGCGAGACTGACTACTCGAGGCGGCTGCGAGGTCTGGCGGAGAAGACGATGCGGGGCTGATGTGTAGCCAGTCTTCCAGCTTAAGTGTGGGTGGACTATCCCGTTTTTGTCTACGTCGCCGTGAAGGAGTGTTCGTAATATTCGTCAGAGGCCTATTAGTAGACATGTCGATGCGAAGCAGAGTACAACAGTTGTAGAATATACAGAGGTGGTGGGAGAGAAGAGAGACGGATAGACGCGAAGACGCGAAGACGCGTTTCGGTCTCGGAAGCTCTGGAGCGACGCGCCCTCCCCGCATCTTTTACGTATTGTACTATCGCCTTGTCGAGCATAATGGACCTACCGAATGTCATTACTATTAGTGATGATGACGATGATGGATTCATGCCATCCTCACAGATAAGCAATGGATCTATACTGGAAAACCTGGACCGTGAAATGGAGCGATGGGCTGCGCTTGCAAGCCAGCCTTCGAGCAGTGGCTCGCCCCGTAAGAGGAAACGGAGTGGAGTGGAAGGAGACAAAGAGACAGCGGGAGCCGCGGCATGTACTCCGTATCTCGTTCCCTCCCGAAATCTGACATTACAAAGGGGGCGGCGAAAACGTCGAAAGCTCTCGAAAAGAAGGCCGAGGCGGAGAGGAAGAAGGCCGAAAGGCTTAGGTTAAAGGTGTGTGAGCCCTCCTACGCTCCATGGGGTGTTCTCATCGAAGAGATAGGCAGAGAAAGATGCTGCTAAAGCCGCTGAGAAAGCTCACGCAAAAGCTGTGAAAACGGTCAACAAGCTGATTTCGAGCAAGAAGGACACGTTGCCGGATATGTTCGTCGAAGTATGCTACGCAATGCACGAATCCCCCCAGTTTCAGCCGATTGCACACCATCTGAAACAGACGATAGTCGACAAGTCCGGCAAGCCAGGAGCACGAGATTGGCCAATACGTGTCGTCGATGAGCTAGACCCGCCTAACAGCATTTGCTGGACAAGACGCGTTAAATCGCGGTACGACGAGGGCACCAGGCAGTTCGTGCCGTTAGACGAGCCGCTTAGCGTAATCGAGAATGCGCGCCTGCTGTATCTACAGAAAGAACATCTCCAGAACGGCTTAAAGAGCGGAAGGCTCGAACAAACGGTGCAGCGCCTGCGAGACGAACTTGGGCCCAAGGCACTGCTGTTCGCTATGATCGATGGGGGCGGCCGATCCAAGGAGACAGAACGCCAGCTGACGATGAGGATGATGAAGTACCAGCTTAATGTCATTCGTGTGGATGGGTACCAGGATGCTGCAACATGGCTCTATGACATGACTGCTGATTTGGGATACAAGCCGTACAGGTATGTGTATTACGGCCTGTATTAGGGCCATTTGGCTGATTTCTCAATAGACTACTGGAGAAGTCACATCTCCCGAACATCGGGGACACAAACATCGACGCAGGAGCTAACTCGCGGGATACCTGGTACAAGATGCTACTCCAAGTGCCGCGCATGACCGAGTCGGCCGCACAGGGTATAATGAAGGAGTATCCAACATTTCATTCCCTCATGTCGACATATCAGTTGGCCGGATGGCAAGGGGAGAGATTACTGGAGAATATATTGGTGAGCAACAGAGGTTGATGGCTTGGCGGGAAATCTGATGGACCTAAAGATCACAAAACGAAAAGATGGAATGGATCGACAACGCCAACGCCTGGGTGGGAGACTGTCGAATCGTGTTTGGAGATCGCTGACTTCAGAGGACCCGGACGAACATTTGGCGCAGTTTGGACAAGGTGCTGGAATCGATGATGACGATGACTAGTGTTCTTGCACAGGGTTGCCTTTTTTGTATCCGAGATCTTTGCATACCCCACATCTACATTTTTGGAACATTGTATAGTTGTACATCTTGCGTTGTAAATTAGCGCCTTGTCGATGCTCATTCCTTTCCGGATGTAAGCAGCTGGCCTGCTCAGCAGACGACGTCTGATTTGCAGCGAGCCGCGAGATGCGCAGTCAGCGCCAGCTTGTCGACTTCATGCGTACTTGTCTTGGTAAATAACGGTGTCGTCGTCACCATGACTGATGTGCTGCGCTGTGCGGCTTTTTAAACCGTCTGTTCGCCACATGAGCTCAGATGAGAGGAGATTTTTTAGTATTAGATTCGAGAGATCAAGCCTGCCCTTGGATATGAGTAGTTTCTCGGAGTGTGGTCAACTTGACGAACCGGTACACCTTCCCATTCAAAGATCTCATAGGCGTTCCTTCCCTTTCTTCCGGGTCCAGCTTGGATGATCAGTCTTCGTCGCCGTTTCGATTCACGGTATGACCGAATTCCGCGAGAAATCTTAGGAACTCATTTGAGTGAGATATGTTGGCGAACATTGGGTGACATACCTTGAACACCGCCAGGAAGATCGTTACCGCAAGTACGAGCACGCCTCCGATAGTTGCGGTAAGTACAACCTTAGCTACTCAAAGATTCAGACAGGAATAATATTAAGTAAATTGACGTACATTTGAAAGACTGGAGGAGACTGTTGTAAGTCGAGGCAGAGGGTGAGGCGGCCGCAGATGTTGAGGACGAGGACGCCGACGATAGTAATGTTGACGATGCCTCCGACATGACGATTATTTCGTCAAGTAGAGCAAAGTTGCTCTTGCAACTTCATAACAAGCTCAAATGCTTGGGGCGTCGTGTATGGCCCTAAGCAAGCCTGCTCAACGAAACCTGAACACCTGATGGATCGGAGGTGATTTCGGAAGCGCGTTTCCGAAGTGTTCCCGTAGCCCGCGTGAATGTGAAAACACGCGCCGTCATTTAAACGCGACGCGTGCTTGTCAATCTGCTCTTTTGCATATATCTGCTAAACACTCTGGTTAATCTGCCCTAGATGGCGCCTCGCCCATCACAGCGTTTTGGGACACAAGTGTCGCACTCTCAAACTAATGGGCGAAGACAGGCACCAGCCACACAGAGGGGCTACGCAGGGAGGAGACGCGGGCGGCAGGTCGAGGAGGACGAGGAAGAAGAGGAAGAGGAAGGGGATCAGTTAGAAAATGACAATGAAGACGAAATGGGGGAAAACGAGGAGGTAGAGGAAGCATCGGTATATGAACACGCGTCTGTCTTGAGGGCGTGTAGCTTATAACCCACAGACCGAAGATAAAATGGCGGCCGACCTCGTACGACTGGCGCTGTTCACAGAGTATAAGCATGGCCCGCTGCGTCGAGATGAGATCAATAAGAAAGGTTTGTCATTGCTTGGTACCTGGCGACGCAAGCTGAATGATGTGCAGTACTGGGGAAGTATACTCGCGCATTCAAGACGGTCTTTGCAGCCGCCCAGGAGACCTTGAAAGACACTTTTGGCATGGAGCTTGTTGCCCTAAAAACAGCTGGGCATCGAGAACGGCTGGTGTTAGAAGAAGCGGATGAAGCTCCAGATGCCAATGGCGTAACCAGAAAGAAAAGTTCGTTTCTGCTCCTCTGCAATGATTGAAGACTAACACCTGTCCTAGTCGTGCCAGCTGGTCCCCGCGCGTGGATCCTCCGCAGCTGCCTTTCAGAATCCATCATATCTGCGGCTGCAGAGCGCGATCAATCCACAGCTGAAGCTGAAGAGGATGAGTGGTTACATCTGCCGGACGACCCACTTCGGCCTGAGCGTGCACCAGGGACGTTGATCGCTTGGCAGAGCGCGGACGATGTTGGTCTCCAAGGGTTGATGTTTGTCATTCTGAGCTTGATGCTTGTAAATGGGAGATCGATGCCAGACCGTGCGTTATTCCACCATATTGCGGTCGACCCGTGCTAAGAAACTGCGACACAGCCCAACTACGCTCGTATCTCAAAAAACTAGGTATATATGCCAGCGTTCCATTGACCACCGCCTCTGGGAAGAACGTCTCGCTGGACACGTATCTTGGCACACTTACAAGGTTGGGTTACCTCGACCGCACCCGTACGCATCTCGCCGCACTCGGTACTCAAGCTCCCCCAACCCAAGCACCTGGTCGTGGGCGACGCGGCCGGGGATCTGATGATGTTGAAGAAGGCGATGTTTCGTATGAATGGCGCTGGGGCCCACGGGCCGAAGCAGAAATTGGCGAGAAGCGCGCAGCTGAATTTATTGCTGACGTGTACTTGAACAGGAGGGAGGAGGTTCAGGGAATCGAAGATAGCGATGAGGAAGAGGAACCGCAGCCGACGAGGCGGGGAAAGGGAAGAGGAAAGCAGGATGCGGCTTCAGAGAAAAGAAGGCTTAAGCAGGCGAGGAAGGAGAAAGACCGCAGAGAGGTGCAGCGGATCCTCAAGGAGGTCGAGCGAGCAGCAGGTGGGGACCTTGTGGCGTGAAGCACCACTGCCGGAACGTCGCGGGAACGTATTGTTTTCGATTTCTTTCATCTGTCTTTTCTCCTGTACGCTGACAATGTTCATCTCTAATAATACTTTTAACGGCAACAAAGCCTGACTCAACCACTTTCTTCCCACGCATCCTTCTATCTCCCTTAGCTTGCTCACATTGTTTCCCGCAGCCCACCTTTTGATCTCTTCTCGGCACCGAGAACAGTGAAGATTCCGGATAGACCAAGGTGAATGGCACCCGCCGACCGCGGAAAATTCTCCGGCGGCTTCATTGGTCTCGCAGCAATGAGGACCTCCGGCGCCTTGAAATTCCTTAACGCCGCACATGATCAGTACGCATGTATCACTTTTACGCGCCCTGTTCATGGGGCATTGTGGTAGGGAAAATCGAGGTTTGCAATGGTGCAAAGACAAACCACTCAAAAGGATGACTTAGACGACCTCACCCCACAATCAGAACAACCTTAGGAAGAATCTCAACAAGTGCGATAAGTGTTGGACAAGTTAGTCGATATTATATTCCCTCTAATTGCAATCGAACATCCGGCCGTCGTAGTACACGCAAAGGCGGCTCTTACGGGAAAATCTAAAAATACCACGGGCTCTGATTCACGTGAAGTGACGCCTTCCCCGCGTTCTCCTCGTCGCCCCTGTTTGGAGATTGCCCCTTGTCCCCTTGGGATCGTGTGCAACTTGTCAACCGACTCTCTTCAACTCGCATATACTATGTCTACAGCTGGATTACAGAATGAGGCTCTCGGATCTGGAACGTTGTGGACTGCTCCTCCAAATGACGACGTGCAATTGAGCGAGTATATCAAGAACTTCATCGCAGACCATCCAGAGGTGCGAAACATCTGTTCATCCATCGAGGCGAATCGACATACTGAAACCCGGTAGGCACAGGAAGCGCTCTCAAACCCGGTGTTGTCTGTGCCGGAGGAAGACGACTCTCACCCTCTGGCAGACTACTTCATCTCGTGCGGACGGTCTTCAGTCTTGTACTCTCGGACTGACCAACTCTTGTAGCACATCCCACAACACCTATCTACTCCATAATCAGCTGTACGGTCAAGCGTCGGCTGATTCGTACACCCATGTTCTTTCTCGTCATGCTCGCTGTATCGAGATCGACGCCTGGGATGCGTCGTCTCCGACTCCGTTGGGCGGTGTCATCGTCGTCCATGGCCATACACTCGTACGGAGTATCCCTTTTCGGGAAGTAGTGGAAGCTATTGGTCAGGCAGTGGATGCAGACCCCGAAGGTTGGCCAGTGTGGGTCGCATTGGAGAACCATACTGGGCATGCAGGGCAGGGCGAGATGGTCCAGGTATTTGAGGAGGTGTGGGGCGATAAGCTTGTCCGCGAAGAGCTCCCAGACGTGGGAGTGATCACACCCAGAGATCTATGGGGAAAGATCCTCCTGGAGGTGAAGTACCTGATCGTGTTCAAACGCCAGTACTGACTCTTTTGCAGGTAGAATGGTATCCGGAGAGCGGGGCGGTCCAGCGACATGGCATCTTCAACGAGTTGCACGAGGAAGTGAAGAAGATGGTGCAGGAAGTTGACCCTACTCTCGATCCGAAGGTCCTCCCTGAGCTTGCAGCGCTAGGCGTCTACGCGAAGAGTATCAAGCCGCATAAAGACTTCTTAACAAAGAGTACGACCCCAAACGTACCATTACAGAGAAGCGCTGATTGCGTGGTGTGCAGAAATGGAGCAACCATCTTATGCGCTGATGAATATCTCGGAAAAAGCGGCGGCTGAGCTGCTACCAACTTCACTCCTGGATCTCATCTCGAACAACGGGAAACACCTCATGCGCGTATATCCAGAGGGTATCCGGTAAGTTCAGTCCCATCCCCAGGACGCTTACTCATGACGCACAGGATCAATTCCGAGAACCTCGGTAAGTTCATCTCTGACTCAGGTGCTCTCGCCTGACGTAGAACGCAGTCCCCCACCGTTTCTGGCGAGGCGGTGCCCACATGCCTGCGCTAAACTGGCAGAAATTCGACAAAGGGATGCAAATCAACGAAGGCTTCTACGCCGGCACGCGGGGGTGGGTGCTCAAGCCGCCAAGTCTGCGTGCAGACTGGGACGGCAGCGGCAAACGCAACGGAACCGTCTTTTTCGCAATTAGGATCGTTGCAGGGTGTAACCGTGCGTCCGCCTACTCGTACGTTGGTTGGGGGATGCTGAGCGCTAGCAGTCCCCGTTGCTAAGGGTGTCACAGACGGGGAATCGGTCGAACTGGGGATCAAGACAGAGATACTCCACTCGACGGGGGATACGATCAAGCGCACCAAGCACGTTCCAGCGCGTGTTTCTGCCTCAGGGGCAGACGCAGAATGGGACGATCACGAGCCGCTCGAATGGTCTTACACCGACGAGGAGTTAGTCCAATTCCGGTGCGTGTTCTCTCACTTCTTTGGGTGAGGGGAGAGCTGGGGGCTGAACTGCTGGCAGTATCCTCCTAGTACATGGGAAATGGGACGGCGAACAAGATCTGGGCGCGTTCAGCGCTCCAGTGGACAGGCTGCAGCAAGGTGCCTCCTTCCTCTCCTCTCCGAAGTGCAGCAGTTTATCTGACCTAAACTACAGGCTGGCGGCTCGTCCGACTGTTGGACCTTACAGGCCGGCCGACGGAGGGGACTCTTTTGATCCGGATCGATATTGGCAAGCAGGGAGAGGGGGAGGTGGATGCTTGATCTCCCCTCTTCGCGGTGTGGAGTCCCGCTGTACGAGTGGAATGAGACGCAACAGAATGTGTGCGATAGCTCTTAGCTAACTGAATGAATCCAAGCAATACCTGAACCGCACACCACACCCCAGAAAACCTAAAAGTTCCATTCCATAACTTTCTAGTGTACAACAAGACGATTCCGGGGCGTGTAGGAGGGTACATTGCATTTGCGGAGAAAGGAAGTGCGGGTTTGTGGGAGGACAGGAGGACAGGAGGACAGGAGGGTGAGGTCGTGTGTGATCAGTTTGGCGTGTTTCCGCAGAGTTCGATTCGGGCTTTGGGTTTGTGCCTTTGGGCATTGTTCGGCGTGGTGTTTGGCTTGGTTTAGGTAGGTAGGTGGGTTTAGGTCAAGCTATCGCGTCCTTTTTGTAGTTCGGAGTATTAGCGGACTGATCAGGGAGGGTAGGGCAAGCGCGCGCAAGCCGACGGCGGATGGGCGAGCTAGGGCACGGAAAGGCAAAGGGAAAGGGAAAGGGAAAGGGAAAGGGAAAGGGAAAGGGAAAGGGAAAGGGAAAGGGAAAGGGAAGGTGAAAGTGAAGGTGAAGGTGAAGGTGAAGGTAAACAAGGGGGACAAGAAGTCGGGAGAAGGCCAGACAGGCGCGTTGCCAGGTTTCGGACAAAGCCGAGGACGGTGGCAAAGCCCAGGCGGCATTTGGGAAGAACACCCCTCCCCCCCACCCTAACCCCCGTTAGCGCCTACCAAACGCATCATCCCCCTCTTCCTCCTGGGTCAAACCCCGCCGATCGCCAACTGCCAACTGCAACTGCAGCTAAGACGTAAAACTCGGTCCTAGTTCTTCCACGACAGCTAGGACGACTGAGATGTCTAAGGTTGGGGTTAGACCAGATTCGGTTCGGTGGAGCAGGGAAGAGGTGGGCAGGGTAGAAGTGGGCGGGGAGGGGAGTGCGGAGTGCGGAGTAGGGAGTAGGGAGTAGGGAGTAGGGCCCCGAAAGACGAGCTGAGGGAAGGGGAGGGCCTCAGCCCCCAACTCCCAAACTCCCCACTCGCCTAAACCAGG